TGATTATTAAATACATAATTAATGGACAAATTCTATTCATTTACTGAATCCCTGAAGAATGCCAGCGATGAGGTATGGGGTCTTCAGGAGTGCCCGCCTGTCCACCGGTACGGGCGCTGGTGTAGTGGTTGTGATGGTGTCGGCCATCAGCGCGTGGTATGTGACAGACGCCGGCGTAACGAGAGTATGATTGGTCTCACCGGTCAGGTATGGCTTAGCAATGATTGGCGCGAATATCGATCCCAAGCCGAACATAAACTGCGAGAACTGTAGCGCTGATAGGCTGTTGTGCGGCCACATCTCGACCAGCCATACATTGTTACCGCTGTCCCAAATACCGGATCCCAATCCACTCACGTATCCGAACAAATACAGTGTCCATAAGTTGGGTGAATAGGGTATCAGCGCTACCGATGCGGCCATCGCTGACATAACTATGGCAATAGTTAACTGTCTGTTAATGTATTTGTATAAAAGTCCGACTGAAATGATAATTAACACAGAGTTTAGTGAATAGTATTTACGGTATATATAATTATTTATACAGTAATTAATTAGTGTCTGGAAAGTGCTTACATAGAGAACCCGATAGGTATCCGATGTTACCAGCGATAAGATTAATGGATATTAAATTCATTGTCGTGTTTAACATGTATTTCAAGTCGACAAGTGTTGGTCCACTTAAGCCATTCGTTATACCCTTTTAAGTGACAAAATTATATATAATTACAAATTTTTAATCAATTAATAAGTATTTTAAATGAAGCACTCGTTTTAGTAAACACTCATTAGTTAATCGCAAATAGAGTATAGATTGAGTGGCAAATGATATTAACACTGAAATGAAGTTAATTATATTTAAATATATAGTTATAACCGGGGGTTCACTATAACGAGTGGATCCACTGTTTAAACGCATACAAAAGCGAAATGATTGATAAACGCGGCGATTGTGTAGACGTATAGATCCCAAGACTTTTGATCCGTGGCTTTATTACTACTTCTTCGTCGTCGACGCCTACTATCACTCGAGTCGTCCATCAGATCGTTATTATTGTCCACTTCTAACTCGTTGTTTAAGACATTCATTATTAGTTAACCATATGTTTACACAACAACTTAATTCATACGCGAGTTATAAAAATTATTAAAAACTTATCGTAAATTTTGCTCTCGTTTTGTGTATTAAAAATAACAATTTTAAATAACTTTAAATTTATAATTAAAATGTCATTTCAATTTAAAAACTATTAGTTTCAGTCATTAATTGTCATCCAATAGTCGATCCATTTCTGTGTTAAACAAATCAATTATTAAATCATTAATTAATTTATTCACAACTAATTCGTCAGTAATTAAGTGAGTGTTTGTCAACTCATCACTGATTTCAACGCCTTTTTCATTATTATTATTGCTTTTATTATTAGTTTTAATTTTGTTATTAGTTTTATAACTCGTTTTAATGTTAAGTGTTGTCTTCTTCGGTGTCTTATTCATGGATTGAGTGATAGTTTGATTCAAACGCTTCCCAATCAGAAACTCTTCGAGAAATACAAAGTTTTTCAATTGAATCGACAAATAATTCAATTTGTTTTGTAATTCAATGTCTTTTAAACCACTTTTTGGATCACAATTAACACTATTGTCAACACATTTAACGTTTAAATCACTTTTGTTTTCATTATTATAATCAGTGAATGAGTTGTCAATAGAGTTGTTGTGATCACGAGTTGAATGGCTTTTCACACAATCAATGATTTCAATCAATGGTTTTTCGCCATTACTTTCACTGCAATTACTGTGATTATAATGAGTGGTGTTATGTGTGGCACAGTCTTCGTGGCCAGTGTTGAGCACCGATAGCCTGTATTCATCCCATAGGAGCCTATCCTTCAGTGACTGCAACCGACTTCTGGCCCGAAGTGAGACCAGAGCTGAAGACAACGGATCCGATACACAGTTTTGGGACATTTCACATGTGATTGATTTGTACACAACAAACGTGTATTTCAGACCCCCTTTCGCTCATTAAATATGCGGTTTTCCCATATGTTTACTAAAAATACGTATAGTCTAAGACTATCCCCCTTTTATTCAAGTGAACATTATTTATTAACCAATTTATAACATTTTCATAATTTAACTGTACTTTAAATTGGCCAAAAGTAACAAGTATATTTTTATCTTAAGTAGTAATTTAGTAATTAAAATGCGCATGGTTGTTATTACGTTTATTATTACAAAAATACTAGAAATTATTTGAATAATTTTCACTCAAAATGAATTAAATTTTTTATTTATATTTATAAATATTACAAATTACCAAAAAATCAATAATTATATTAAAAGTCATATTCAAATTGTGTTTTAAATTTTTAGATAAGTTTTAGTTATAATTAAACACTATTTCCGGAATAAAAGGTTTGAACAAAAAAAGTTATACAAAAAATCATAATTTCGATAAAATGGACAAAATTTCACGCATTTTATCGCATGAAAAGTTGGGTAAGTTTTCATTGAATTAAATAAATAGTGAAATAATTTATAACTAAAAATAAAACATTATATTTCATCGTCTATTATATGAAACACATTAGAAAACATTAAATGCCATTAAAATAGTCGATAATCTTTGGGAAACTTAACATTAATCGATCGGTTATACGCGGCCTCCAAATGAGTCCAATTTAATTGCTTGAATGCCTTCAAAACAAACACAAAAAACACAATTAATTGCAATCAAAAAACAAAACACAAATCACTAATCAATCGATACATACATTAATGGTCTTGAGCTCCAACTCGTGGGTGCGGAAGCTGAGGACCTCAAACCGTTTGTCAAACTACCGAGCTGGCTTCACAGCCACGTTTTCCCGCACTGCAAGCCATTTAAACCGGTGAATTTGGTCGTAAGGATCGGTGAGTTTGCAGATCTCAGCGAATACTTGATTCGCGTCGGAGACAAAGTGGTCGCCAGTCGGCGAGAGTTTGGCGTCAGAGGCGGCGGTCGAGTCGGGTATTGTGTTCGGGTCGATGCCGGTGGCAGTGGTCGAGCCAGCGGTCTGGGCGTCGATTAGGTCACAGATGGCGATACCCTTCTTCACCAGCGCTTCCAAAACAGTTGTCTTTTGTTTCTCCAGACTTTGAATGCAATTAACAAATCAATTAACAAATGATTGCAAAATATAAGTCATAAACAAGAGTTTTTGATAAATACTTTTTGAGTGCCGTATTGTTTGTATTATTGGTTGAATTATTGGTGTCCTTCTTCTCACTCTTCACGACAGCCAACGAAGCGATCAAATCATTAACTTTTATCAAATCCAAGACATCGTTCGCTAAATTGATTTGAGTGGTCAGGTGTTGGCCGCGTTGAGGGTCAGCGTCCAGCGCCTGCATTCGGGCCAACAATAGCTGAGTATTGGCTTTGTTTGTGGCCTGAAGTTCATTGAATACGTCTTCCGATGATTTACCCTTTAATCTAAAATATAAGACAAAAAAATAAAAACTTCAATCAAAACTTTGTTGAAAATAAAACAATACTTTGAAATCCAGGATATCTTCAGATCACTCAACGCTTCGCTGAACTGTTCCTCCAAAGACTTTTCGGGTAAACCGTCGGCAGTGGTCTTCTTATCGGCGGACTCTTTGCCAGCGGCGCCGCCGTTGCTGTTGTCCTTGTCTTTGGGCTTCTTCTGGGGTTCGCTGTCGACCACGTATTTGAAGGCAAACTGTTCCGCTTTTTTGCGAACCTCTGATTTGGTGAACGTTATGTGACCGGAGAAGTAGCCGCCGGCGGCCACAGTCAGACCCTTAGGCGGTTCGGTCATCGCCGCCACGAACACCGGTTTGTGACAATTGGGTCGCAACACATGAGTGTTAAACTTCTTGCCATCAGTGATGGCATTCTTATAGGTCTCGTAGAGACTCAACGACGCGCCGGGAGTCAGCTTTTGGTGAACATTGATCGACAGATCCGACAGTTTGTCCAATTGTGCGACCAATTCGTGACGGATTTGCAACCGAACAGTGTATTCGCCTTTTTCTAGTTTCGCCGAATGCTAACCATTGAAGAGATAATTTATAAGTTTATTTTGGGATCAGTTTCTCGTGACTGTATGGATGGGGACATTACTCTGGATGAATAGGCGTCTCCAGTGGCCAAGAATTGCTTAGTGTTTGTGTCAAAAATCATCCAAATTTGCGAATCGTATTCCGATTCGTATAAGACATCCGACAGAAGAGGACACGAGATGTAAACATCAGTCGGTTTGGACTGAATTCATTGAAAAGATGTGTTAAATATGTGTCATAGCGTTAAATAATGGCACTAAAAATGCAAACCAATTGAAAATTATAAGTCAAAACAATCTCATAAATCTGTCGACCGATAGGTATGACATCGCGAGCGGTCAGTGGACGCACTTTATTCTCAACGGGTCTATAATTAGACAATAAAATTAACATTAAT